CCAAGTAACCATGTGGATTTTAGACCCCTTTGAAGAGTTGATCTTTAAACAGAAAAGGGTTGTCAACTTTAACAGAACCCGAGCTCTGCTATAATACAGGGGAAATGATTGAACCTGGAAAGACCAAAGAATTCAGGTTCCACCTAGTGGGCAAACATTACTATTCCTTTAAAAAACAAATTTCGAAAAGAGAATGTTTCAATACCTGGCTAGACATCACAAACACACTGAACAAGCAAAACTACAGACTTATTTTAGAATTGTATCTGCTGAATTCTTCATAAACAAGCCATGATCACTTACCCAGTGTGCTCACTGATTCCTGCTTCTTCTTGAATCACAACTGTTATAATTATGTAAAACTGTTTCCTTGATGCATCAAATAGTAAGGTTTAAAAATATGACAAATTTAGATACAGAATATATATGCTTCCATCTGCATGCTTATAACAAGAATGCTTATCAGAAAAAACTCTGTCTTAAAATGTCTGCTTTCATAGTCTTTTAAGGTGGAGTTATGTCATGCAACTGAATAGAGACTGTCCCTCACAGATACAATCTATGACTCCTATCTCCTTGAGTCAGTAACTCAAGGAAAATGACCCTCAAAGAGTATGATTTTCTGCTTCACACAAAGCTCATTATCCTGGGGCTGTTTTTCTGTTTCTTCTTTCCCTTTGTATCATCCCCTCACAAACACAAAACATCATACAAGTCATCAGAACCAGGCTTGATTGAGATGCCTTTGGTGTATTTTTGTTGTTTTTTTCTTTCCCCTTTAGCCAACCTTATTTGATAATAATTTTAGGCAGTATACAGTTGTCTGGTGTATTAATGAATTGAAGTATGCTGCTTGCTGCTCTGTTGAAAAGATGTGTGAAGTAGCAATCACTTAACCTTTTGATTTTTCCATATATTATAGTTAGGGTACCTGGTTTTAATTATTTAGCTATTTATTTTTATTTTGAATCTTTATTTTTAGGAACATTATGCCTTCAGAGTAAAAATCTGAGTTTAAACAATGTTGTAAAAAACAGTTCTCCTTGACTTAATGAAAAAAATATTGGACATCTCAAAGTCCTGTGTTCCTGAAGAAAAGCATAGAAAATCGGTTCTTCTCTTTTCCTCCAAACAAGTTTCAACACTGCCAAAAGGGTATAGTCGGGCAAGTTTCACTATATATTATCAAAACAAGATAGAATTAGAAAATAAAACTCTGGATCTGAATTTTGTAACTTAAACCCATCTCTTATAAAAAACCTATATACACCCACTATAATGTAATAAGGGCCCAATCCAGCAAACATTTAAACATATGAGTTACTTTACTCATGTGATTAAAGTAAATCTGTGATTTAGACCCATATCTTATAAAGACTTAAGCACTTACTAAACATTACACACTGTGAATAGTTCTATTGAAATCAATGGAACTACTCCATAAAGTTAAGTACATATGTAAGTCTTTTCAGAATCAGGGCATTGATATTTGTCAGATTAGGCCCCAAATCCGTGAATCTGAAAGCTTGCAACTGCTCACATGAGTAGTCTTATTCAAGCCTATGGAAGTACTCACATTAAAGCTGGTCAGAAAGCAGTAAGTCCTCAGAGCAAAACATTTCAAAAGAACCAACTAATTTTCATTTTTCAGTAATTTTTTTGCATACATTTTGAATTAAATGAAAACTTTCCACATACATTTTCATTAAAAAAAAGATATTTTTTCAGTAAAAAATAGATGGAAAAGCTTTGACCAACTCAGTCACATACATAAAGTTAAACATATGCATAAGCACTTCAAGGTCTAAACATTAGTCTTTGGTTTGCTTTATCCTGTCTCACAGTTCAGAGGCCCTTGATAAAATATCTTTGCAATACATATGAGTATATGCCGAACATCACTGTTGAGCCTACATTTTTGAGCCAACACACAGTTAAAGCTGCGCTATATTAATGTTACATCCCCTACTGTGTATGGCCAGTTAACGAAAAATGTGCTATAATTAGATGACCTGTTTCAAGGAGAGTTTCATAATGAAATTTCAGTTGATTAGGTGATGTCGGAAATAAATGTTTCCATTAATTGCTAATATATAAATCCTCTTACAATGTAGAATTCTGCAGAGAAAGAAATAAGAACATTTCAAACAGATGATTCACCAAATATTGTCATTGTACACTACTGATGACCTATACTGACTACCTATAGAATAATGTTTAATAAAAGCCTATTTGGACTTCAACAGTTCAATCATTTTATATTTACTATAGAGTAGTCATCATTAAAATGTTAATATTTCCCAGATGAAAATAATTACCATTAATTACCATCGTCACAATATTGCAGGTATTTCCTAACCTACATTTTTGCCGCATTAAAGGTGTTTACATCATATCATATAGGAAAACCTGTAATACTGTGCTGTATTATATATAGGGAACACTGGTAACGCTGGATTAATGCTAAATATCAGCATTTTTGATGACCACTTATTTTTAGGGGGAGGAGGGAGGCAATATCCAAATTGAGTCCCTCAACCTGCAAACCCTTATGCATATGCTTAATGTTATGTGTGAGAATCATTGCATTGACTTATATGGGACTTCTCATATGCATAAATATAAGCATGTGGAAAAGTGTTTTCAGGATCAGGGCCTAAGGGCCTGCAAATTTCACTGTTCTAAGCCTTTTTTATATTATATTTTTTAGGTTATCAAGAATAAAACATTTTCTTAGCCAAACTAACCAAAATAATAAAAATAAATAATAATAAATTACAGAAAATGGTAAGAGAGAAAAATGATTGCCATGCTGAGCAATTCTCTGAGGGGAAAGATAGCCTTGTGGCTAAAGGACAGGATTCGACATCAGGGTATTGGATTTGAATGAATCACTGTGTCACAAACTTCCTGTGTGACCTTGACATAGATGCTGGAACTAGGGATGTTGGGGGTCCTGCCGCACCCCCTCGCTTGAAGTGGTTTCCATCATATATAGGGTTTAGAGTTTGATTCAATGGCTCTCAGCACCCATACTATACAAATTGTTCCAGCACCACTGGACCTTGAGCAAGAAATGTTGGCCAAAATTTTCAACTGTGAGTGCTTCAAGTTGGGTACTTAAAACCATATTTAGGCACATAAATAAAAGTAGTCTGATCATCAGAGTGAATGAGCACATACCACTCCCAAATGAACTTCCCTGTATGGTAATTTTCATATACATTCATAATATATATGTGATTGGCTGTTCTTGTTTTCTTGGAACCCCTCACCTTATTGTATGATACTGAATTTTAATGGGTTGTGAGAACTCATTGAGGTAGTTGGCTCACTACTCTAACATGGTGGTTGGGTATCTCATGAGAGAAAGAGAATATGTCTAATCTAGGATGTACACTGAGCAATCCTGAGAACAACCAAGCCTGAGGAGCAAACTTGAGTATAAGGTTAGCTCATTCTATTCTTAATGTGTTTGTTGATAAAGGCAGATCCCTGGAACAGGGTGCATTTTTGACTGTACCACTTATGCTTTAGAGTAGATAGGGAAAGACACCTGATCGCAGTTTGTAAGGTGTTATGAGACACTTAGATGTAGGATGACCAGATGTCCCGATTTTATAGGGACAGTCCAATATTTGGGGCTTTTTTTTATATGGGCTCCTATTACCTCCCACCCCGCGTTCCAATTTTTCACACTTGCTATCTGGTCACCCTACTTAGATGGAAAGAGCTATGGGAGTACAACATATTATTAATCTGATCAGGACTGACAGAAGCTCCCTAAAAGTGTGGGGGGGCACTAGCGCCCGAACTGTGGTCCTCACACTGTCCCTTCTCCCCAAGGCCCTGCCCCCACACTGCCTCTTCCCACCAAGATCCTGCCCCCCACTTGCTCCTCTCTGCTCCCTTTATTACCTTGCTTGATTTTTTTTAGCATCCCCCTTTTCAGACGCTTTTCTTTCTTCCCATCTATCTCCACAAACCCTTCTTTCTCTGATGCCTTGCCATACCAGCCCCTTCTTTGTTTCCACTACTTCTCTTCAGATCCTCTCATTTCTCTTTTCTTGCCTCCTTGTCCCATTCTCATTGGACTCACCTCCATCTTCCTGACATGAGTGTTATTAACAGATATATAGTGCCTGCTTCCACAACATCTTCATGTTGGCAGAGCAGAAGAAAATGCAAATCATATTTTCTAAGCTGGCACCAGCTTCTTACCATCACCGGCTTAAGAAGAAGGATTGATTCATATATAAGGTGCACTGAATTCCAGACTTCTTGTGTGATGTTGAGCAAGACACTTTATAGGGATGTTCATACTTTCTTTTTGCCACCCTTCTTCTGCTCTGTCTATTTATACTTTAAGATCTTTGGGGCAGTGACCATCTCTGACTGTGGTTCTGTACAGTGTCTACAACAGTAGGGCCCTGATCTCAGCTGGGGTCTCTACACCATAATTCCAAATGATTAAGACAAAAAGAAGCGGGTACTGCAGCTACTGAGGCTGACACCTTGAGCACGGAGTCATGGGGCATAGGTTACATAGCCATGAAATAAGTAGGTGGGTGCCTTCAGAATCTGTGAATCTCTAAACAAAAATGCCATTGCGTAATGGTGGCTGACAGGACATCCATTTGCTGGAAACCACATTAGACATCGTCAGATCTATTGCTGTCTATTTCCCTTAATAAATGCTCCTTTCTCCGCTGGTGGCTGTTTCAGAGGAAGATATCACGACTATTTAACTAATCATATTAAAAATATAGAGGGCAGCCTAGCTACATTAGATTAGTTATACAAACACTGCTGGGGTTAATAGCTATGTGATAAATTGCAGAGCTATGTGATAAATTGCATTTATTATGCACTTTTGACTGCCTCACTTGCACTCTACCTAGTAATCCATCTCTGCCAAAATTCATTCCAACATTCCAAACCTTTGAACAGTTTTTAACTAGCTGCTTTAAAAAAAACAATCACTTTGCTACAAAAATATTTTTCCTTCCTCCCTCCACTCTCCCCATATGGAATTTCTTCTCCAAATTACACCACTCAGAAATGCAGGATGGACAGTATTCTGTTCTGGACCAATAAGAGCCTGAAGGTTCAATATCTTCTTGCATGTCATCAGGATGAGAGAGACAACACGGGTGAAATAATATCTTTTATTGGACTGACTTCTGTTTGTGAAAAAGGTAAGCTTTTGAGCTTACACCGAGCTCTTCTTCTGGAATGGGAAAAATAAAGTGTCACACTCACAACTAACCACAAAGTGAAACAGATACTGTAGCATAAGGAGTACGTCAGAGTTGTAAATAGCATCCAGAGGCTGTAGATGGTGAGTCCTCAGAGGATGATGGTTTGTTTCTTGCATTTGCTCAGGAAGTAGACGTCACTGTTAAGTTTGACTTTCTCTTTTCTTCATGTTGTAGACTTTACATTTCATATGGCAAAATTCAATATCTTCTGTTGATGTTTGCAGTGTTGTTGTAGTTGTGTTGGTGCCAGGATATTAGAGAGACAAGGTGAGTGAGGTAATATCTTTTATTGGAACAACTTGTCTTGGTGAAAGAGAGAAGCTTTTGAGCTTACACAGAGCTCTTCTTAGGGTATGGGAGATTAGTGACACCTGCTTTGTTGCAGTAGTAATCGGCATTTTCCAATGGGACATAGCATGTGTCTAGTCCAGTTATGTAGTCATATTCCAGATCTTAAAAGTGTGATATTGTGATTTAGAGACAAGACACTTAAGATCATTTTAGAGGGTTCAAAATTGTTTTGGTTCTAATATTTCTCTTATTTTGAGCCTGTACAGTTGCACTTATGGTACTCTGTCACTCTGTCTTCACATGTAGAAAGAAGTGCAAAAAATAGCATCAATAAGAAATCTTAGACCTCCCTAAACCATTTCTAAAATATTTTTTCTATAAAATTTGTGGCGTGAATGAAATACATAACATGTGGTATAAAGGTTTGGAATGATCTGTATAACACACTTTTGGCTACACCACTCATGGGTAATATATAAGCAACTTGTGCCAATACGGGGCCAGATAGATCCTCAGCTAGTGTAAATCATCATAGCTCTTTTGAAATATATAGATCTATGCATATTTACACCAACTAAGGATCTGGCCCAAAATTTTTGCACAACACCATTCTTTATTTTTTGTTATGTATCCCAATAGATACATATCAAATCCATACATATACTGTACATATGTAAAAAAACATTCTTCAGTGGGAAACTTTGATAGAATGAACTGTTTTGTTCTTATACCATGAGGTGAGAGTCCTGTTTACCAGGGTTTGGACACTTTATTCATTTACTTTGATCAGGAGTACTTCCTGCACTTTAAATTACTGCGCATAAAAATACTATGTTAAAAAAACTTTAAGGTTGCAAAGACGTGCACTCAAATGTTAGGAAATATAAGTATTAAGGTTGCCTGTGCAACTTTATTTCAGCCCTTTCATAAGGAGAGTATCATGAGTAGGACATTGATGGCCTGGTCTAGTGGATAGGAGCAGGAGTCAGGCCCAGTGGTCAGCGCAGGAGTAGAGCCCGGTGGTTAAAGTAGGAGCTGGAGCTGGGAGTCAAGCCAGGGGTCAGAGACAAGAGTCAGAAACCAGGAAGCAGGCCTAAAACTGGAACCAGAATCAGGGATCAAGAATCAAGTCAAGGGTCAAGCTAGGAATCAGAGCCAGAGTCTGATGCAGGGAATGAGAGTGGGGTCTGTTGGAGCATCAGACCAGGACTGCTGAGTTGCAGCTTCCTGGAACTCCCTCGATGCTTAAATAGTGTGCCTGGACCAATCAGAGGTCATGGGTGAGGGCTGCCAATTGGGTATTCTATTAGTGGCAGTTCCTGTGGTGCTTAGTCCCCTAACGTGTATAGTGCATGAGTTATAGCTCTGCCATAGTTGCAAGTAGCATCAGTTCCACAGACCTGCATGCTAGTCCTCTGGATCCTTGCAGAAAGTTGCATTAATCCCTCTCCACAGATGTAAATATTGCTGAGGGATAATATGCAATACAACACATTAAATGCAATTTGCCTATTTTTTTCAATTGCATTTTGTCCAAATTGCAGTTTTCTCATTTATTAAAATTATTCACATATTTATAAAATGAATAATTTGTAGTCAGCTTGTTCAGTTAGTTGTGAACATTTGGATTCTATTTTGGGGTGATTAGCTATGTAAGTCAAGTGATATTATTTATGTTCTTTGATTGGATGATTTATATAAATTATCAGCATAGCAGCAAGAAGAATTTCAAATTTGACAGTCGAATATAAAATCCAACATCTGCTTTTAGTGCATATTGGAGCATTTGGGAGTAAATTTGCTTATCACAAATTTTCACACTAGTTAACCTCATTTGGTGGATATTTGCAGAAAGAAAACTCAAGCATGGTATCAACACACTTGAAGCAAACGTGTTTAAAGGAAGATACGTAATATTTCCCAACGTAGAGGTAAACAACACGGTTATCAACAGTGCTTAATTTGTGCAAGGGCTTGCCAGGGCTGAGTCCCGGCACCTCTAGGCTTGCCGCGTCAGTTATGAAATTAAATAAACTGCTTGAGCCCTGGCACCTCTTTCATTACAAATTAAGCACTGGTTATCAACACATCATAAATACTATGCAAAGCTTTTGGACTCCTTTGGTAAGATATATTATTGTCACTGGCTATGTTATCAGGCAGGACATAAGCTACAACTGTAAGGATCTCTCTTATCTAAAATTTCACAACAGCAAAGTAGCTGCCAACGAATGACAAATTCTGAAATTGCTCCAACCCAGGGAGTAAGGTACTTCATTGGTTACTGAATCTTATCAAAGACAATATATGTACTAGAATGATAGTTTTAAAAAATGTTATATTTGCAAAATTTTATACTTCTGGTAAAACAGTTATATTGTATAATGTGCATAATACATTCCTGAATATATTGATAAAATAGTTATATTGTATAATGTGCATAATACAATATAACTGTTTTAGCAGAAGTATAAAATTTTGTGTATATATATATATATATATATTTTAAGCAATTTTTTCTGAATCAAATATTTTTTTAAGAATTGAGGTCCAAATGCAGAGATAGAAAGAACCTGGTTAAGAAACATAGCTTATGCAGTTTGATTTTACTAGGTTCTGTAAGTGTCCCATTGAAATCAAACAAAACTGATTATTGAGACATTTCTCATATTTCTAGTAATCATGTTTAGGATTTTTTAAATGATCAACCAGAGTATAACATTTGAAATAACCAAGAAAAATTGCAAAAAGAATTTTCCTTTATACTGTTTGTCTGTAAAATATAGGAATCCCTCATACATCTGGAAAATGCCCAAAATTCTGGAGAGCAAATCAGCTGGACAAACATCCATCAAGGTATCTCAGAGAAGACACAAAAGACAGTCTTTTACTGAGGAAGGAGCTTTCATTCTCTGTGAGTGGCAGATCTGTGAGAACGGAAACCACTAGATTGTTCTCTAACTGAAGTGAAGGGTCAGTTTAACTGGTTTTGTATTGCTGCAAGAGAGACCAAAGCTTATCAGCTTTCATGTATTGTAGGAAATGAAAAAGGATAGAACTGGATTACTTTCTTTTTTCAGGTCTGAGGTCAACCAAGAACAGCTTTAGGGTCAATCTGACTGCCTTACACTTTCTGAATGACCAACGCATGGTTAGCCATATAGGGTGGCTGATTGCTACTTTAGATACAAGGCTGCTATGCCCTTTTAAAGCCTCTGAAAATCTTTGATGTAACAGAGAGGCACAAAATGTCACAGCCACATCTGAGTGGCATATGAAGTGTTAACACTAAAAGTAACTTTTTTTCAGAATTTTTGCATTGATAGGAGCCAAGAGAGAAAGAAGTATGTTTAGTTGGGAAAGAGATAACAAACAATGCAGTGCCACATTCTCAGTGTGTGCTCTTTGTTATCAGCACAACTAGCAGCATCATGTACTGTACAATGAAAGATAACCATAGAATGAGAGATAGCAGGCTTTGTAGCTCTATAGATTAAACAACACACTAGGGTAATCAGAAAAAGAATGTTTTAGGGGTGGGAGTTGAACCACTCGGGAATCCTGAAAGTTGATGGCAATACGGTATTTGAAATGTTAATTTTTTGAATAAAATTGTATCTCTGAAGCACTGTTTTCTTACTATCCTAAGAGCAGGTTAAACAAACAGCTGTCAGGAATGGTCTAGATAATTAGTCCTGCCACGAGTGCAGGGGACTGGACTAGATGACCTCTCGAGGTCTCTTCCAGTTCTATGATTCTATGATAATGTGGATCCAGGTTCAAATGTCAAACCTCTCCAAATTTTCATGGTATAAAAATCACAGAGGTATGGACAGGCCTCTCTCTAATATGCAATGTTTATATTTTTTCCTTTTTAAATATAGGCCCTTTGTGTTAGTTTTTTTGTATAAGCAATATACATAAGCAATTACACACTTTAGAAGTCAGTCGTGTCCATACAAAAACCCCATACTATATTGGTAAGTTTGCCAGACATGTCCCTTTTTCAGTAGATTATAACTTTGCCAAAATTCAAATTCTGAGTCTTGAAAAATCTCATTCCACGTGTGCTTAATAGCAATTTGTTAGAGTTTGGCAGCTAATTCTCTGAAGCTTCTGACTGCACCAAGCATGCTCCAGTTCTTCACAGCTCCTGTGTACTGTCTGCAATGTGCATGCACCATTCCCACGGAATGACTGCATACTCCACCCTGGAACTACAGGGACTGACCAGAACTGAATATGCACCATCCTAGGGCCGCAGGGGCTAAGCAGTGGAAATTGTTTGTAATCATGTAATTACTATATGATAATCTATATGCATAAGAGGGCCAAATTAAATTTGCATAGTTAGCTTTTCTGGAATTCCCTTTTTAGTTCTTGATTTTGCAATTTTAACATTCTTTTAAGATAGGTTTTCGGATATAATAGTTATATTGGTTGAGATTTGCAACCCTGTTCCAATCCTGTACATCTGAGGAGATTGGACAGATATAGGCTGTATTCCAAGCACTCTCTTATCCTGGTGCATAGAATGTGCTGGGTGGGGCAGGACTACACTGGTCTAGTAGGTTGCGTGAACTTATACATTGGTGAATGTGTCAAACCAGCTATGTAGGATGACATATCTTCTGTTATAGTTGGAG